ATATATCATTTTATATGTACGGCCATAGTAACATTTTTTGTCAAAAAAAAGTTTGTTATTGTAGTACACACCCTAGAACGATGAAATCCGGAAAAAAATGTATGTCATCCGATTTCTACACTTCCAACTTAAAGTTCTATATAGGTTTTTATCGTGCACAAGATCGTCCGATAGCAGTTATATATCAGTTTATATATACGGCCATAGTAACATTTTTTGTAAAAAAAAAGTTTGTTGTTGTAGTACACACCCTAGAACGATGAAATCCGGAAAAAAATGTATGTCATCCGATTTCTACACTTCCAACTTAAAGTTCTATATAGGTTTTTATCGTGCACAAGATCGTCCGATAGCAGTTATATATCATTTTATATATACGGCCATAGTAACATTTTTGTAAAAAAAAAGTTTGTTGTTGTAGTACGCACCCTAGAACGATGAAATCCGGAAAAAAATGTATGCCATCCGATTTCTACACTTCCAACTTAAAGTTCTATATAGGTTTTTATCGTGCACAAGATCGTCCGATAGCAGTTATATATCATTTTATATATACGGCCATAGTAACATTTTTTGTAAAAAAAAAGTTTGTTGTTGTAGTACACACCCTAGAACGATGAAATCCGGAAAAAAATGTATGTCATCCGATTTCTACACTTCCAACTTAAAGTTCTATATAGGTTTTTATCGTGCACAAGATCGTCCGATAGCAGTTATATATCATTTTATATATACGGCCATAGTAACATTTTTGTAAAAAAAAGTTTGTTGTTGTAGTACGCACCCTAGAACGATGAAATCCGGAAAAAAATGTATGCCATCCGATTTCTACACTTCCAACTTAAAGTTCTATATAGGTTTTTATCGTGCACAAGATCGTCCGATAGCAGTTATATATCATTTTATATATACGGCCATAGTAACATTTTTTGTAAAAAAAAAAGTTTGTTGTTGTAGTACACACCCTAGAACGATGAAATCCGGAAAAAAATGTATGTCATCCGATTTCTACACTTCCAACTTAAAGTTCTATATAGGTTTTTATCGTGCACAAGATCGTCCGATAGCAGTTATATATCATTTTATATATACGGCCATAGTAACATTTTTTGTAAAAAAAAAGTTTGTTGTTGTAGAACACACCCTAGAACGATGAAATCCGGAAAAAAATGTATGTCATCCGATTTCTACACTTCCAACTTAAAGTTCTATATAGGTTTTTATCGTGCACAAGATCGTCCGATAGCAGTTATATATCATTTTATATATACGGCCATAGTAACATTTTTTGTAAAAAAAAAGTTTGTTGTTGTAGTACGCACCCTAGAACGATGAAATCCGGAAAAAAATGTATGCCATCCGATTTCTACACTTCCAACTTAAAGTTCTATATAGGTTTTTATCGTGCACAAGATCGTCCGATAGCAGTTATATATCATTTTATATATACGGCCATAGTAACATTTTTTGTAAAAAAAAGTTTGTTGTTGTAGTACACACCCTAGAACGATGAAATCCGGAAAAAAATGTATGTCATCCGATTTCTACACTTCCAACTTAAAGTTCTATATAGGTTTTTATCGTGCACAAGATCGTCCGATAGCAGTTATATATCATTTTATATACGGCCATAGTAACATTTTTTGTAAAAAAAAGTTTGTTGTTGTAGTACACACCCTAGAACGATGAAATCCGGAAAAAATGTATGCCATCCGATTTCTACACTTCCAACTTAAAGTTCTATATAGGTTTTTATCGTGCACAAGATCGTCCGATAGCAGTTATATATCATTTTATATATACGGCCATAGTAACATTTTTTGTAAAAAAAAGTTTGTTGTTGTAGTACACACCCTAGAACGATGAAATCCGGAAAAAAATGTATGTCATCCGATTTCTACACTTCCAACTTAAAGTTCTATATAGGTTTTTATCGTGCACAAGATCGTCCGATAGCAGTTATATATCATTTATATATACGGCCATAGTAACATTTTTTGTAAAAAAAAAGTTTGTTGTTGTAGTACACACCCTAGAACGATGAAATCCGGAAAAAAATGTATGTCATCCGATTTCTACACTTCCAACTTAAAGTTCTATATAGGTTTTTATCGTGCACAAGATCGTCCGATAGCAGTTATATATCATTTTATATATACGGCCATAGTAACATTTTTGTAAAAAAAAAGTTTGTTGTTGTAGTACCACCCTAGAACGATGAAATCCGGAAAAAAAATGTATGCCATCCGATTTCTACACTTCCAACTTAAAGTTCTATATAGGTTTTTATCGTGCACAAGATCGTCCGATAGCAGTTATATAGCATTTTATATATACGGCCATAGTAACATTTTTTGTAAAAAAAAAAGTTTGTTGTTGTTAGTACACACCCTAGAACGATGAAATCCGGAAAAAATGTATGTCATCCGATTTCTACACTTCCAACTTAAAGTTCTATATAGGTTTTTATCGTGCACAAGATCGTCCGATAGCAGTTATATATCATTTTATATATACGGCCATAGTAACATTTTTTGTAAAAAAAAAGTTTGTTGTTGTAGTACACACCCTAGAACGATGAAATCCGGAAAAAAATGTATGCCATCCGATTTCTACACTTCCAACTTAAAGTTCTATATAGGTTTTTATCGTGCACAAGATCGTCCGATAGCAGTTATATATCATTTTATATATCGGCCATAGTAACATTTTTTGTAAAAAAAAGTTTGTTGTTGTAGTACACACCCTAGAACGATGAAATCCGGAAAAAAATGTATATCATCCGATTTCTACACTTCCAACTTAAAGTTCTATATAGGTTTTTATCGTGCACAAGATCGTCCGATAGCAGTTATATATCATTTTATATATACGGCCATAGTAACATTTTTTGTAAAAAAAAAGTTTGTTGTTGTAGTACACACCCTAGAACGATGAAATCGGAAAAAATGTATGCCATCCGATTTCTACACTTCCAACTTAAAGTTCTATATAGGTTTTTATCGTGCACAAGATCGTCCGATAGCAGTTATATATCATTTTATATATACGGCCATAGTAACATTTTTTGTAAAAAAAAGTTTGTTGTTGTAGTACACACCCTAGAACGATGAAATCCGGAAAAAAATGTATGCCATCCGATTTCTACACTTCCAACTTAAAGTTCTATATAGGTTTTTATCGTGCACAAGATCGTCCGATAGCAGTTATATATCATTTTATATATACGGCCATAGTAACATTTTGTAAAAAAAAGTTTGTTGTTGTAGTACACACCCTAGAACGATGAAATCCGGAAAAAAATGTATGCCATCCGATTTCTACACTTCCAACTTAAAGTTCTATATAGGTTTTTATCGTGCACAAGATCGTCCGATAGCAGTTATATATAATTTATATATACTTCCATATAACATTTTTTGTAAAAAAAAAGTTTGTTGTGTACACACCCTAGAACGATGAAATCCGGAAAAAAATGTATGCCATCCGATTTCTACACTTCCAACTTAAAGTTCTATATAGGTTTTTATCGTGCACAAGATCGTCCGATAGCAGTTATATATCATTTTATATATACGGCCATAGTAACATTTTTTGTAAAAAAAAGTTTGTTGTTGTAGTACACACCCTAGAACGATGAAATCCGGAAAAAAATGTATGCCATCCGATTTCTACACTTCCAACTTAAAGTTCTATATAGGTTTTTATCGTGCACAAGATCGTCCGATAGCAGTTATATATCATTTTATATATACGGCCATAGTAACATTTTTTGTAAAAAAAAGTTTGTTGTTGTAGTACACACCCTAGAACGATGAAATCCGGAAAAAAATGTATGCCATCCGATTTCTACACTTCCAACTTAAAGTTCTATATAGGTTTTTATCATGCACAAGATCGTCCGATAGCATTTATATATCATTTTCTATATATGACCATAGTAACATTTTTTGATTGTTTTTTTATTAAAAGGCATTCTGTAACGATATAATCCCAAATATATTTATATTTTATTAGATTTGTTCCTTTCCACATTTATATACATATTTTAATTGATCAAAAATAATTTTTTTAAAGTAAATCATAAAAATCAATTTTTTTGAATCTTTTCCACGTGCATAAACACATATTGAAAATGTAAATATTGAAAACGAGTTTTTGCGTCTTTTCCACGTGTACAAACACATTTTTGTAAACAAAAAAAACTCACCACACCAAAAAAAGTGTTTATTTTGATAAAACAGCTGTTACGGTTTGTTTTATTTTTCGTCGGGTTGTTTTCTTTATGTGCGTGTATTTTTAATTAAATGAAATAAGTCGAAAAATCAACTTTTCATAAAATGCAAAAAGTCGAAAAGTCGACTTTTAACTAAATGCAAAAAGTCGTAAAGTCGACTTTTCGTTTCAACTATAGAACCCTAATAGAAGTTTCTCTAACACACTGAAAAAAATACTCAAAAAATTATTTTTATTCGACTTTCTAAAATATGAAATCCAAAAAAATACAAAAAAATCAAAATCGACTTTATGATTGATTATGATGCACCGTATCAAAATTCATGTTCCTGTTCAATTATACACTTTTATAATTAAAACCAACGTCCCTATCAACAAAATTCTAAAATTACCTTAAAAACCCTAAAAATTATAATTTTTTTAATATTTAGCGTCGAAATAGCAAAATGTCACGTCAAAAGCTAATAAAACATCAAATAAAACTATAACCTCGTGATTTAGAGCTTATTTTAACAGCTTTAGAACTTTTTCAATGAAAAAATCAAAAGAAGCGTTATGACTGCCTATGGAAGTAAAGGTGAAACCATTACACTCAATCTACTCAAAGTGACTTCGTTTCGAAGGAAATTTTTCTTTAATCAAATCAAATTCTCCTTAACACATACAAGATAAGATGTAAGACCACAAGGCATTTTAAATAAAAACAAGATTTACATTTAATGGAATATATTAAATATTTATTTCACCAAAAAGCTGTTAAAATATTTATTTTTTCATAGTTTTATTTATTGGTATTTTTTATTGATGTTTAAATTTTTTCATTTAACACCAACAAGTGGTTACGGATTCTCACTAGAGATAAATTACTAAAACGTTTTAATCCCAACGTTAAAAATACATAAATATTTAGTAAAATCTTAAGTAGTATGTATATAAAGGCAAAATATATATTATAGAGAATATTAAAAAGAAAAATTTAAACACATTTAAAGGGAAAGAAAACGAGTTAAAAAATGAAAGAAAATCCATTCAAGTATAATAATACTAGAGTAATAATAGACTAATGTTATAATTAATTTATATATAAAAATTATAATGAATATGTGTTTAGTTTATATGTATAGTTTTGTTGTTAATTTTAAAAAGCCTCTTTCAAGGGTCGGTTTCTTTAGCTTAGTTCTGAACCGGTAAAGGAGGTGGTGGATACGCATACATATCCGAGGATGTGGGAACGACATACGCAGCTGTTGGTAGAGGAGGTTGTTGTACATAGCCGCCAGCAGCCAAATTTTTGGGTAAGTAATTTTCATAGCCTCCACCTTGATGAGGTGGTGCTTGGCCAAAGCGTGACTTTTTCTCTTCACTATTATCGTACGCTTGATGGGACGGGGGAGCTGATGAGAATCGCGATTGGTGACCATTTGAGCGGGTCATTTGTGTGTTGTTGGGATTTTGAGATCTTGGGGGATAACCACCACTGCCTTGTGGTTGCTGATGATGAGGAGGATATTGTGAATACGCAGGTCTTTGGTGTTGTTGTGCCTGATGTTGATCGGGACGGCCATAGTTGTTGTTGGGTCGGTTATTGAAACGCTGCTGATAGTTGTTATTGCCACCGTACGATTGTTGGGATGACATTTTCTTATATCCTTGTGAGTTGTTACGACCGCCTCGTCGTGATTGTGACGATGCCATGTCCACTAAACGGGGATTTATGACCTTAATAAAAAAATATTAAGAATTAGGATTTCAAATAAAATTAACATGTAATAAAGAATAAAGTTAAGGGATGAAAAAAAAAAAAAAAACTCACTTGATTTGCTTCCTTCAGGACCTGTATCAAATCATTAGCCTTATTGGCATTGGAGTTTGTGAAGAGAGTGTATGCCGTTCCCGTATTATTTGAACGTCCAGTACGTCCAATGCGATGTACATAATCCTCCGAATTTGATGGGTAATCATAATTGATGACAAATTTAACATCATCGACATCTATTTGTCGCATGTAGTGGAAAGAAATTCAATTTTTATGTTAACCCAAGGCAAACAAACGTTGCAAATTTGCAATATGTTTTAAGAACAAATATAAAAACTTTTATACTTAATTGGAACAAAAATTTATCCATCAATATACACAAAGTTGTAATTAGTTTTGAATTTTTTACAAGACAATCTCTTTTCAGTTTTCTATATATTTTTTTCATAATAGTGGACCTCGACCTTTTTCACATACAATTTTTATATAAAACTACAAATGCCTTTTCTTTTTTGAGACATTCGTAAATAAAGTATGGATTTGTATTTTATTTAAAATTAATACGAAAAAATAACATAAAATTTAAAGCTTAATTCATTTATTAACTAATATTTTTTAATAAAAGTGAAAAATATCTAGTAGAAAAATCCAGTGTGTACTTACCTCAATATCCGGATGGAGGAAAAAGGGTCAACCTATTAAAACTGTGAATGAGAAAGAATTTATAAAATGCAGCAATGACTACAGCTGCCAGAGGGGGTTTTTTCGGAAACCAAAGGATAATTGAATTTAGCTTTCTTATAATTATGTATTTTTATGGGAATTTTATACTAAAGCAAGGTTTAATATTCTAGCTTAAGCGTAACAACAAAAAAGTATATATTAAAAAGTATATAAAAATCGAAGTCCATTGTTTTTTTTTTTTTTATTTTTTTTTATAAATTTTTGAGAAACTGATGTTATTATTTTTGTTCACATATAATCATTGTATAAAGTTCTTCCCAATTATTTGATATATAATTAGGAAATATACCTAAGATATTTTCTTTTAAAAAGTCAGTCAAAAATATATTTGATAGCCGTAAAGTTGGATTTAATTTAAACACAATCAAATCAAGGAGACAATTGAAATTAAAGTTTTAATAAAAATCTTTCCCATTATCATCTCGAAAACCATTGGATTCATTTGAACAGTTTATAAAGAAAAATAAACCTTTTATTTTGATTTAAAATTTCTTCATCATTATATGAAATTCAGAAGATAAAAACCAAAATACTGCTTTGAAAACATTAGAAAAAAATAAATAAAATAAAAGAAAAAAAAAAAGAAATAGAAATATGAAAATTTTAATAATTTTTTTTTTTTCAGTTTCTCATATTTTTTTGTTAGTTGTGTAGTTATCCCGAATTTTTAACGAGATGTTTGTTAATCCACACTTGAGAACAGTTTCTAGTCCATTTTTTTGTTCCATCAGCTTTCGAGGAGTTAATTCCAAATTTTTATAATTAGAACTGATCTTATTATTTTCATTAAATTGTATTCCTTTTAGTTTTTTAACGACTTCATTATTTGTCCTTGACTGACCATATATAGATAATAAATGTGTTACAATGTTTTAACCAGCAATGTATGGAAAAAAATTCTCCTCATTATTTACCCCACACCAGCAATGAAACGAAACAAAAAGTAATAAAAACTAAACACCTATTCAGAATTGTGCACGTTTTTTTTTTTTGGGACGAAATTTTTTCAAACTTGAGTTTTTTTCTCAATTATTAAATAGGAATAAAAGTTAACGCGATTTACATTAGACACCTTCTCTCGTTATCTTTCAATATGAAATACAACAACAAAAGAATTTCGCAAATTAAAAGAAATAAACAAACGAACGGTGTTGGGTTTTAGTTTCGATTCACCCTGCAATTCTCACTGAGAACTTCTCATCAGCATGACAGGAATCACAGACGAACCAAAGTCAAATAATGAAAGAATTCATTAATAAAAATTTTCATCCACAGCATCACTCGCTTTGCCATTATAAACAAATCATAAGAACACTGATTGTGCAATTTGCAAATCATATACATAACTCTTACCTAAGCCACGAGCAGCTACATCGGTAGCCACTAGAATAGCATTGCGGCCATTACGGAATGAAGCCAAGACATAGTCACGTTCCTGTTGAGACTTGTCACCATGAATGGCACATGCCCGCCAGCCTTGACGCGAAATTGTGCGAGTGATTTCATCGACTCTCTTCTTCGTCTCCACGAATATGATGGTTTTGGTGTCCTTCTCGGAGGAGATCTCACCCAAGAGTTTAATAAGTTTGAAATCTTTTTCATTTTCATCGCACACATCGACAATTTGCAAAATATTGTGATTGGCCGACAAGGTCAGGGAGCCAATATTGATTTGAATGTAGTTGTCTAAGAACTCTTCGGCCAAGTTACGAACTTCTTTCGGCCAGGTGGCGGACCACATCAGCACTTGACGATCGGGACGAATTTGTTTGATAATTTTACGGATCTGGGGTTCGAAACCCATGTCCAACATACGATCGGCCTCGTCCAACACCAAGTAGGTGCAACGTTTTAAATTGGTAACACCGCGTTCAAGAAAATCAATCAATCTTCCAGGAGTCGCAATAACGATTTCGACTCCCCGCTCCAAATCTCGAGATTGATAGTGTTTTGGAGCGCCGCCAAATATACACGTATTGCGTACATGAGTCTGGGAGCCGAATTCGTTTGCGACTTGCTGGATTTGCTGAGCTAGTTCACGAGTGGGTGCTAGAATCAAAGCAATTGGGCCGTCGCCATGTTCCAAACGTGGTTGATTGTTAATATGAACCACGGCTGGCAATACATATGCTAACGTCTTACCCGAACCGGTTTGAGCCACACCCACCATGTCTCTCCCACTAAGTGCGATTGGCCAACCCTGGGCTTGAATTGCTGTTGGTTTTGCAAAGCCCATTTTCTTAATGCCACTCATAACGTACTCGGGAAAACCACCTTCGTCGAAATCAATACTTGGTGTTGGAATGCTTACACCTTTTAATGTAATTTCATTGGTCGATAAATAGCCATCGACTTCAGACTGAGAACGAGCAGCTACCGATTCACACGGCTTATAGAAGTTCTTCTTGAACGGAGTAAGTGTTAGCTCCGACCAGATGATGTTTGGCAAACGATCACCGGATGCAAATGTATTATTAGAATTTGCGTTTCCTCCCTCGAATTGATCTTTAGAGGAATTATTACGATGTTGGGGATTTTGGGGACGACCATAAGGTGTTGGTCGCTTATGTTGCATACCACCACCAGCGTGGCCATGACGCATAGGTCCACCACGATTTTGTTGCTGATCACGGTAACCACCGCCGCCAGGTCCACCAGCATGACGGCTCATTTGCATATTGGATTGATTATTTTCAAACCTGAAAAAAAAAAAAAACGAGGAAAAAAGAATAAAATACAAATTGCAGTATTTCTGATCTGTACAGAAATCTAATTTTTGTATCTAGCCTAGTTTTTTAATAACATCCCCGTCTATACAAAGTAATGGATACGCTCATACAAAATAAAAAATTGTAGTCTACCTATTTGTGTTATTTTTTAGTAAGGCCATAAAAATAGATTTGTTTGTAGATTATAACTGCCCTTTAAGGAATAGATTACTTTTTGATGAGTGTCTTGTTATTTTTTAACAGATTAGTCAGTTTTTTTAACTGGCATATACCTATATAAAAATATTTAAAATGGTATTTTCTTCCTCGGAGGTTTACAGTAGAAAGTATTAACTTTAATACATATGATTCAAGACAAATCTATACAAGTAATTTGAACGTTAACTGCGTATATATTTCCTCTTCTTTTTTATATATACATATACATACATACATTCAGGTATAGCTTTTAAGCTCTATCTAAAATTATAAACATTTTAAAAGCAATATTCTTAATATATAAAAATTCAGTGGAAAAGCCCTTATCAACATGTTTGAAACAGGGATGGCAAAATTGGTACGATGGCACTTTTTTGATACTATTTGATGTTCAAAAGTACCGTGATACTCCCGAGTCTTATTTGATACTCTCAGGGCCACAATTACAATATCCGATTAAGTTTAACAGATAGATAAATATTTTTTGTATGAAAATATTTAATATATAGTTTCGATAAAAAATAATAAGTTAAATTAAATTTAAATTTCAAAATTTTATTGAAATTTCAAATTCCAAGAATGTTTTAGCACATTTTTATATAAAAAATGGAATTATCTTAAATATATAACCAATACAGATCATTGCGAAATGGAATCTGAAGCTGTACATATTTTTATCTTGATTGACATTATATGAATATTAATCTAATTGAAAGAAATCATACGACTTTTACATTTAAAAGAACTACATACATAAGTATTAACTCCCAAAAATTATTATTAGGTTCAAACCTAAGTACACGCCTTGTCCGAATTCTGTCATGATAATATGGTTCTGCGATATACATAGCTATGAAAATAAGAGCCAGTCTAATTTGTATATCCATGATATAAAATTTATATGTATGCATGTAGATGTATACATACATATATTCATCTTTGTGAATGTATATACTATGTATGTATAATAGTTTCGTTTTTTTAGTATACATAAAAAAGTAAAACGTAATTGAATTTCATCAAGGGAAAAATTATACTATACAAATTTTACATTATAAAAAAAAAACATAAGTTTCTGAATAAATTTAACAAGCTACTTTTTCACAAATAAAATGACCTTTGTACCAAATTGTCTGCAAATTCTATATAATAAATTTGTATTTTAGAAATGAGTGATGATGCAGTTGCTAACAAATTTTATGCAAGAGTTATCGATTTTTTCACGTCGGCCATTTTGTTTTCTTTATACAATATTTTTTTCTTCTACCCCAATTTAATGCTTTAAAATCAGCTTAAATTTAACTTTAAATTAAAAATATCTTTATATAAACTATATAATTTTATAAAAACAGTATTTACTTACATTTTTAATATATTTTTCTGTAGATTACTATTGATTTAAAATATTTTTATAAATTTTTCTTATCTTGAGCACAAAGAATTAACCTACTTCGGAGAAATACTTTTTAAGAATGAGAGAAAATATGAAAATTGGCACCAGAGCCCTGCGACGACAATAATTAATAGCGACGTCACTAAAAATTTTTGCGCCGGCTTAAAGTCGACTTTAAGCCGCCTACGTTTACAGCTGTGTTTTCAAAATAAAAAGTAAAATTCAATATACCCTGCTCAATAACATAGCCCAGCAAAAATAAAACGAAGTACTTTAAAAAAATAACATTTATCACCACTTCAAAAGTAGAACTAAGTGAATTTTTTCACCTTTTGTGGAAGTGGAGTTTAATGACTTCCGAAGTAGCCTATTTCCCCATATTAATTAAGTCAAATTAGTTGTATTCTAAAATGCAACAATTTTACTTCCAAAAAAAAGAACATAGAAATTACTTATTGAGAATACATTCGAAAGTAGTGAAATCATCACTTCTGCAGGTCTTTTTCAGTACTACTAGTAGTACTAGTAAATTCTACTTCTTTTTCGCTTCTTTGGAAGTTATTTTTTTGCTAGGAGTGTATGGAAATCAATTTTTTTACATTTTTAGTTAAACTTGTGTATATCAAAAAAAATCTCTGAAATTTTTCCTTCCTAGAATGTCGTCTAATATGTTTACTAAAATATGGAACAATCTACTTTTTCAGAATTTAATCAATTCTTGTAGAAACATTTTGTTGATTAAATTAAATATACAGTTCTGCTAGAATTTGATGCGTGGCGAGGGCTATTTCAGTAATTATCTATTGCATTTTTCCTATAAACCGTTGAAAAATATTTGCCGGTGGCGTCTTTAAAATTTTTTAGACGGCTAGACATCGTCATCTTTTAAGTCAAAACGGCACTGATTTCTGCAGCGAAAACTTGAGAGAAAATAGGAAAATCGGCATCAGTGTTGGGAGTCTGGTCAGTGTTGCCATACTGCCATCGGAATTCTGTATTTTAATAAACTATTCAATTAGACAAATATGTTGAGTATAATTTTGTTAGTTAACTGTAGTTGGTAAAAATAATCATAGCAATAAAACATTAATTTCATAGCTATTAAATGAAATGTAAAACGGATTTCAACATTTGGCTTAAACATAATACAATTTTTATAAGGATTAAGTGAATTACATACATGTTTTATAAAAAGGCCTTTTCAAAAATATTTGTAACTATTTAACAATACCAACACAGATTGCAATTCATCAACAACAAAATACGATGCCAGATGTAATTAGAAAAGGCCAAAGCTGATATCGATAAAACAGTTTTAAAGATAAGACAGTATTTCTATAATTTTTTTTATTTACTAATCAATTTTCTTAATTTTTTTCTAAACTATTAATACAAAATGAATAACTTAGATACAAGTTTGCAAGTACATTCTAAATTGGAAAAGGTAGAGTGGGTTTTTCTTAAAAATTTAATTTCGTCAACAAAAAATACAACATTACATTACACCATCCCATTAATAGGAGACTTCCAATTTGGTTTTGTTAAGAGAGAGGGTGGATAAATATCATGACTTGTCCAATCAGATGTCTGATATCCTAACAGTATTCGAAAATCGTTTAGGGAAACTGGAGCAAACCATATTGCCAGTTTATCAAGAAACGGAGCAGTTGCAGAAACGTCAACACAGTATGTAAATTGTAATGAAAAACGAGCAATAAAATTTATTAACATAAAGCTTTATTGATTAGATTTGGAAGCCACCCTCAATTGTTTAGAAACTGTATTGTCCCACTATGATGTCTCCCAAGAAGTCTGCAATCTTATCCATCAAGGGCCCACCGAGGGTAGTGTTGGCGTATTCACCGAAGCATTGGACAGACTGCGCTCGGCCATGGAGTATTTTCTTCATCACAATTCCCAGAGCGTTGAATTGGAAAATGTAACTAGTCTGTTCAACACTGGCTGCGAGAGCTTAAACAATCACTATCGTTTATTGCTAAAGAAAAATGGCTCTCCTTTAAAACCAGTGGATATTTTGGATCTCATCTATAATGAAGATGATTCATCAAATGACGAATACACTTCTTTTAGACAGTTGACTCAAAGTACTAGGGAGGAATTGTTCACAATTTCCCATTGGTTGGAGCAGAATTTAAGATTTGAATATACCGTGAATTATGCCACCGAAAGAGGAGAAGTTGTATTTCGTTCTTTGCAAAATTTGAAAGATCATCAGAAGAGCAGTAGTTGGGGCAATGAGGCATTGGTAAGTCAATTGTATTAAATTTGCTTAGATTAAGTTTGGAAAATATTTTTATGATTTCGTTTATTTTTACAAAATTTTATTGCATTTATTTAATTTGATCTTTTTGTTAAAAAGGTTAAAATAATAAACTTTCGAACTAGTTCCCGTATAGGCAATGTTGTCTTCGATGACACTTATTTTATTTTTAAAACACGAAAATATATTTTTAATACTTTAATAATTCATTCAAATCGTTGGGTAACAATTGAAAAAATGTTAAATAATGACTTAAAGCAATTTACTTCAGCATTGCACATTCTTAAGTTATGTCTTTCTTAACGCAAATCAGTCATATGTATGTAACATGTATATAGACTTATTATCGTTGAATATAAAAAATGTTCGTTAAATTTCCAGTGGTAAACCGTTATAAATGCTTTAAGGAAAAAATAAACCAGTTATTTATATTTGCGTTTAGTATCGTAATTGTTTAGCATGTGTTAAAATCAATTGTATGTTTTTAAAAAAATCTACTTTAAAACAATAATAAAAAATTGCAAAATCTAAAATGGAAGATTGTCGTACACCGACTTTCACCACTCCCAGAGAGTTTAAATTTAATGTAACACCTACCGCCAAGAATTCCACTGTACACTCTTATCATGACATTCACAATATCATGGCCAACAGACGTTCCTTTACACCAGTCCACAACAACTATCGATCACCTGGCCTGTCACCCATTTACCCTGTTGACACACTCACCCATCACAGTTCCTCTTTTATGCAATTTAAGAAACCAACCCTGTTGGCGAAACCTGTTGTTACTTATACCGCCTCTCCCAAATATGGCGACAAGACAAACTTCCTAAGCCCTTGCCCAGCATTTGGCAGTAATTTTTCTACATCGCCCTCATACGGCACCTCCGATAACAGCAGTAAAAGTCCTCAATCAGAAGACAGCAAAAATATTTCTATTCTGGATCATACTTTGAGCATAAAAATCTTATTAAAAACTTTGGGTTTGGAACGTTACTGTGAAAATTTTGAAAAGGCTGGCATAGATTGTAAATACCTAATGGATATTAAATCATGTGATCTTATAAACATTGGTATTACGTCGCGTGAAGATCGTAATTGCATAATGGAAATGTTTCAAAATATTTTTTCAACATCAACCTAAAAAAGTAGAAAAACTTAATCATCCATTTTTAATAAATTTGTTTTTGTTTGTACCTTTTAATTAATTTTTTATATTGCTTATTTTAATAAATTATTCTTTGAACAAACATAAATTTCTTTTATTTAAAATATGTAGTTCTTTTTAAATTTACATTTTATTTATTGAGGTTATGCTAAATTTCTTGTAGAAATCTCGTCATTCTGGACGCCAGGAAACCAAAAAAAGTCCCTCCATACGTTTACAGCAAATGTAAGTAGAAAGTTTCTTTTAATTTATATAGATTTACAAAAATAAACTTAATTTTACACTCAGATTTGAACGTAAAGCCAATAAATTATATTTAAAAGCCACACAAACTTTGGAACAATCAACTGGTATTTCCATCAAAAAAGCCACCTCCCATTCGGAACATTTATCTTCAGAAGAATATGCTGATGGTGACCAAGAACTAGATAAATATTTAGTCATGTTGCTGGGTCTACAGCGTCTTCTAAATTGGGAACGTGCTCTAATGCAGGAAATCATTCCGACTTCAAAACAATCTGATGTATTTGCTAAATTGGCTTATAAATCAATTGATATGGTGGTTAAAGATGCCGAAGCAATTACAAATCGCATAATGCGCAGCATCTCACGTAAAGAATGGACTTCGGCTTTGGGTATATTTAAGACTTTGAAAAATGTTTTACTGCTACAACCAGATATCGATCGTACTTATGATGTACAACAGCGAGAACAACTGACAAAGGTTTTAAATAAATTACAATACACGGTAAGAAGAAACAGAAACAGAAATACATACTTAAGTAGTTATTTCATTCAGAAATTATCTATTGTTTGAAGGGTGCCAAAGCTTTGGAACATTTCTTGGAAGTCGTTAGAGGTGATTCAACAAATATAGTGGGCATGAGTTCTAGCACTTTGGGTTATGTCAATGTCCCCAAAGATGCCACAGTACACGAGTTAACATCGAATACAATATGGTTTATAGAAAATCTTTTAAATCACTACGACGTCATTGGTGTAATACTACAACCAGATGTACTCTACTCCACACAGCTAGATACAATACTTATGAAAAAATCATTGTCCGAGGAGGAACGCAATAAGGCTTTATTGGCCATTTACATAAGTAAGTAATGTTGTTAATATTTAATAATAAAAAAACTAACATTTGTTGTATTTTCTTGTAGAAAAAGCTTTAGCAGAATTAAATCTCTCCATAATGAATAAATGTGAACAATACAATGATCAGGCTACCAAACATTTGTTCCGTTTGAATAACATTAATTACATACTAAATTCATTAGTCACTTCCAATTTAATTGACATTGTTACTATTGCCGAACCCGATTGTCGCAATAGTTATATTGAAACTATTAAAGAGTTGAAATTTTCGTATCAGAAAACCTGGTCAAAAATGCTATCGAATATTTCGCCTTTAGATGAATTGCCCAAACCAATACAGGGTAAAGTTAAAGATAAAGATCGCAGTATTTTAAAGGAAAAGTTTTTGGTAAGTAAGATAATGAAATAAAAATAAAACAAGACGACTAAAGGGCATATTAATGTATATTCCCATTACTCGTTAGACTTTTAACAAAGACTTTGAAGAAGCTTGTAAAATTCAAAGAGGTATCTCTATACCGGATGTTACTTTGCGACAAGGTATTAAGCGCGACAATGAGGAACACATTTTGCCCAAATATAATGAATTTTTCAATGTGTAAGTACATTTATGTTTTCTATTTTACTACCTTTTATTTTTATTTAATTTGTTTAATCATTTCAATTTCATATTTCGTATTATTACATAAAAACACTAATTTTACAAGAAAAACTCGATTTTCATCGACATCTGTTTTTTACCAAAAGTGAACTTTTTTCTATAAAAATTATTTTTTAACAAAAAATCTATTTTCGCAACCGCTTTTTTTAACCAAAAAATGTTGCCATGTTCTAAAGATTCATATGTTCTATTTACATCCAAAGCTTATCATTTGTAATATTTATAAAAATTTCCTTCCATTCCAAGTTTTTACTATTTTTTTTTTTTTTTTCAATTTTTTTTTTCATATTTTTATGCCTCTTTATAGGTATGCTGGTGTTCAATTTAGTAAAAATCCTGATAAGTATATTAAATTTAAGCCTCACGAAATTAAGGCAAACCTTAATAAACTCTTCGACGATTCCGCTTAACTTATAATCACACAAATTTATTTATTTAATTTTTCTTTAATTTAATTAAATTTATATTATAAAGTTAGATATAAAAAATGTCTTATCGTATAACAATTATTAAACTAAGCAAATAAATAAATAATTTCATAAATATATTAAATATGTAAAAAAAATAATCGTTCGTTTAGCAAATTTAATGTTGTTCTTCAATTTTCAACTAGACAACTGTGGACAACAATGATGAAATATTATTAATATAAGAAATTCGTTGAGGGTGCTTCTGGTCGACCGCAAGCACCATAATGTAATATCGCTATTGTGTTATTGCTATGACAGTTTTCCATATCCAAAAAGCACTCATTCGAATAGGTCATATTGTCGGTACCACACACGGGTTCAAAGTCGGGTGGACATATTTTGGCACATCCTTTAAATTGCACATTACTTAGACATCTTTTTAGGGGCACAACGAAAACGTGTTTGCCACAATTTTCTTTGCGCATATGACATTCTGATTTATAGAATTTATTATCCGAACCACACACGAAATTGGGCGGTTGGGCATCACAATCGGTTTCACAGTCTGCTGTTAAAAGGCAGTTTTTCAAGGATACTTGTACAACTCTTAAATGACAAGTTCTACGTTTAAATTCACAATTGGAGGCATAAGTGTTGCCATCAGAACCACATACAGGGCCTCCTTCTATATCTTGCTTGGTGCAACGTTCACCACAATCTTTGGGCGGTGATTTTAAGTCGGTACAGGGTCCAATGTGGGCCAAATTAACTCCTCTCCTGCAATTATTAAAAATTAATTTTCTTAACAAATTCTATCAAAAAAAAAAACACTTACAAACAAGTAGCATGTGCCAATTCACATTCATTATTGTAGGTCTTGGCATCAGTGCCACACAATTTATCACTTTTTTTGGAAGAGAATATAGAACCAAAAAGATTATTGAAATCTTTGCAGGGAGGCAGTTGTTTACATCTAGATAAACGTGTCTTGCATTTATCCATGCTCATCTTTTGTATAGATTTACGCTGGGGCCTACAAAACATACATGATGTTAATGTAAAACTTCAATAAAATTATGATTTTATTACTTACCCACAATTTAACATTTTTAATTCACACAAAGAAGAGTAAATATTACCATCGCTACCACACACATATGCCGCACTATCGGTTTTGGGACATTCTGTGGGACAGTTCTCCACCTGATTTCCATTGCGTTCTTGAGACATACAGAATGATAGCGGCACTTCAAACACATGTTTGCCACAATTGGAGGAACGCATTTTACAGGGACTAGCATAAAGTCTACCGTCTGAACCACAAGTGGGTCGAGCTACACGCCAACATGATTCACGACACATTCTAGTTGATTGACAGTGCTTACGGCTGGTTTTTACCACACCTTGACCGCAAGTCAATAGTTTCATTTCGCAGGTGGAATTGTAGACATTGCCATCTGAAGCACAAATAGGACCATCCTTAGGGGCACTGTTACAATCCACGGGACAAGATTCGCGTATGGCGCTTGTATTACTGCAAGGTCCTACATGGGCCATCTTTACCGCAGCCATGCCAACACGACAAGCTTGTACACGTAACATGCATCTAGAAATCGATTTAAAATTTATTTTTGAAAAATATATTGTTTTTGTTTATTCATTTTCTTAGCATACCTGTTTAAGTAAGTACGACCGTCAGTACCACATATAGGATCCTTTTCACTGGGACAACGATGTTTACAATCGGAACCACGAGCTCTTTCACAACCATCTCTGACATCCTGCTTTGAAGGGACAATTTCATTAATAATATAACAAATAGCAACATTTACAAATCACCTTTATGGCACCATTTCTGGAACAAGTTTTCTTTTTCATATCACATAAATTGGCATAAATCAAACCATCCGAACCACATACTGGCTCAGCACCCACTGTCATACTAGGCGGACAGGATCTTGGACAGTTGTTGTTGCTACCACGATTCTGGCGTGGCATTAAGGTATTCATGGCTCCACTCAAATTGAGTAAACCTAAAGGATCATCATTTTGAAAATCAGCTTCTGTTTGTTGCAACAATCCCGCATTTTCCGTTGTTACTAATAGAGACTCATTTCCTGCAGCCAATTTTTCTTCTGGTTGTAACTCTATGCGGCTATAACGTATAACTGGAGCCTGTGCAGGTAATTTTATAATTTTAATTGGAGAATCGGTAACTGAAAATAAAAAGAAATATTTAATTACTATATAAAACAGTTATTAAAAAATTTCTTTAATCAGTTTTTAATTTTAATAACAAAACTGCGTTTAATTTTATGTTTTATAGCCCTGCAGCTGAATTTAATTAAATTTCGTTTTGATTATTTGCAATTTCTTTTCGAAATTCATTTACTTTGGCCCCCATGTTTATGAAGTCATTAACTCTTTACATAACAGAAATCTCTTCTACATATGTACATATGTACATTAAACGTTCATCACACTCTAGGTCATTCATTCATTCATACCCCACATAAAAATGTTAAATCTATAACTGCCATGTGCTTGATTTGTTTTAACGATCATGTGCGGAATTTAATTTAAAGATTAATTTCTTTCTTTCTTTCTTTTTTATTATTATTTTATTTCTTTTTAATTTAAACAAACACTTTGTCTATGATACTCTTTCTTACACCTATTTACAATGTGCGCATATTTTCATGTCTCAACTATTAGAAGAATGACCAACACATACACCACCATTCATTACTCGTAGTGTTGATAGTACATACGTCCACTTTGTTTTGATGTACATCAAAGTCAAAGATAATAAAATCAGATTTATACCCCACCATCCTACCTCTGCAACAAATGTGCCACATACGATACAAAATACAAGAAAAAAAAAAAACAAACAAACAAATCTTAAGAAAAATCAGTTACACAAACAATAAAAGTGAAAGTAGAAGAAATAAAATTTTAAAAATTTTCTTCTTTATGAATGAACTCCAAGTCTACTTTTCTTAAAGAAGAAACGATGCTATTAACATCAACGAAACCTTTAATTTCAAATTGAACAAACAGAAAGGAAATCAAAAAATTTTTAGGTTCAAACACATGTTTTATAAATAGAAATAAACATTCATACATTCATCTATCTGTCCATCCAAACTTGGTTATGATAGTAATGTTTTTCCTGTTACAAATTGCTAGCCATTCCAACCAACAAAACTTTAAAAAAAGATACAACCAACAGAAGAAAATCAGTTGTAAGTCGTTTCTTAAAACATGATATGATTGTTACTTTTACCATTTTAGTATTTGCATTTAAAATGAACACTGTTTCCAGTGTCTTATATGGATGAGTTAAAGTAATGAGTTAAAAGGCTAAAAAGCCGCTTTTCATTACTTATTCATTAGCAAGCAAGTACTTACCATGCTTGCAAATAACTGCTTAAATAGGTACTTACAAAAAGGGAGTTAAAAAGTTGTTTTGTTTTGGGTCCCTTTCAAAATAAAGTACTTACGTAACTGGTTGTATGTAAGTCATTATAAGAGTACTTGAAAGTAATGCAGACGGTATGTAGTAGTCGTTGAAAAGTACAAGTCATTAACGAGTTTCTGTTGTACGGATGTATTGCTAGTTCAGATTTAGAGCCGCTAAGTTTTATAACTTTCATTTGAGGGAAAAGTAATTTAAAAAAATTGAATTTATTTGAAATGAGATCCTTCAAAAGCTTTTTCTAACGAATAAGAATACGGAAAATAGGAAAATGGAATTTACTTTGAAAATTCTAATGGATACAGTGTATATGATAATAACTACAAGTAACATGACAATGTTGATAATAGTAATTCACTTTTTTTCTCTCACTCATATTTAGAGTAATCCGTTTTCATTTCTTTTAACAAAAACTAAAAGAAACATTAACTTTCTTTCATATGAAAATAAATAACTAGATACTATATGTATGTTAAATGTACTTTTATAAGTATGTCTGTGTGTTAATAGTGGCTCGGTTGCTCCTGTCTAAATTTGCCATAATAAAATTCAATTATGTTGTTTAACATACGAAATATACTTGACCAAGTGTGCAAACCATATCTATATCTTAAGATAGTTATTTTAACTAGTAGTTATAACTATAACTAAACAACCACTTAAATGCCACCTCATACGAGTTTTCTAAATTCTTAATAATAAGAAAATAAACAAGAAAAATTAAAACAATTTTGTAATTTTAATTAATGACATGTTAACACATTGTTATTGCATTGTTATGTTCCCAACAGTCTGCATTTGATCAACACTTAACGGGCATATGTATCTACCAATATAAAAAAGTACTTTTTTGATTTTATGGTACCAAGATTTGGTGACAAATTCTTACAACTGACTCATTATTTGCAATCTTTACCAGGGACGAAAGAAAATGACCTAAATTGCGAGAATGGTCTTTTCAATAGAGTAGCGGATATGATACAATTATCTCTAACAAAAGTATATAATAAAAGTACCAAAAGATTCGAATCCATTATTTCACAAAATACATACTGTAATACTGTGTGCCTTCGGTGTGTTAGCGGTTAGTGTTCTAGTCTGTTAGACCGGAGGTCGTGAGTTCGATTCCCACCAGAGACACTGGTAATAGGCCCGATGGAGTCTTAGGTTTATTTCTTCGGATTCAATGTAACTGTATGGATTTATACTGCTTAATACATGGTTTCAAAAAGTACCATTGGTACCCATTATTACCCCAACCTGTAATATACATTGTTAGATTTTCTGTACGTGTGTCTGAGAGATGTCGAATGACTAGCAGCCTACTCTCATTTCTCTTAACAACATAATTTATACCTGAAATGAATGTTTATTATTTCTTTTAATGTTTTTCTGTGGTGTGTATGTTTTACAGACCAGATAACGAAACCAGCTTAACACCTTTATTGGAAACTGACTTTTTTTCCACTGCTCAGCTCCATTAAGTGAGTGATAATAAAGAATGTTGAACTAGCAGTAGTAGTAGTAGTATGTTTTGGATGATCGTTACTTGCACAGTAAGACGTATTTTCAAAATTTTAGATATATTTTTGAACAAAGTCATATGTAGAATGAAATTTGTTTGTAAATTAAAAAGTCGAAATCTGAAGAACATAAAAACGCATATAATTGAAAACATTCTGATTGAAAATTTTGACACGGTTTTATTTTCTATAAAGTCAAAACATCTAAATCTTATTATTAAAGCTTACAAAATGGGTTTGAACGCGTTTAATTTCGTTTAATTGTAAAATTTCATATTAGCAGCTATTGTTTCAAATTTTTACTTTTTTCTAAACTTTCTTACAACAAACCCACTGTATTATATTATACGATTTTTTTACTAGTTCATTCGTTTTCATTTTTCTACCATTTAAGTGGTTTCATTAAAACAAAAAAATCACTGGCTAATGTATGTACAATCTGTATGAGATGTGTGTAGAAAGAAGATGCTGCCACTTAATAATCGCTTGAAAATGTTAAATGACTTTTTCTATTTCTTTTCTAGTTTTTATTGCTACAGATAAAAAAGATCGTTATAACGTTGTTAATGCTGTCGTTGTATGATACAATTTTAATTGTTTTAAATTCATAACTTACATAATAATACACTTTTTCCTCTTTAATTGATGGACATTATACAATTTCTAATTAGTTCTGGGGGTTTTTGCATAAGAAAAATAAATTGTCTTATACTTTAATACTAATTGAAATGATTATTTTTGGATAGAAATTTTATAGAGCAAAATTAATGAATGCATAGGAATATGTAGGAGTATGAGCATTAAGACATTTTCTAATTAAGATCATTTAAGAGATATTATTTTCATTATTTAACTGGTAAATATTGGGTTTCAGGTCACAAGTAAAGAAATTGCTTTTGAAATTAAAATGTAAATTTTGGCAAATATTGTTTCTATGCATCTGATAACTATATTTATTGTATTTAGGCTAGTAATTCCAAGAAATATTTTACTTTCAACTTTGTGTTGCTTTTAAGTCATGTTCATAAAAGTCATAAAAGTATCTGATCGATATCAATATACTACATTATTTTTTACTATTATTGATTTAATACTAAAAAATCAAATTTGTTTTTAAAACTAATTCGCTAATTAATTATAGATTTTTCATTTCCACTTTACTGCCAATTTGCTGCTGAAGTAATTTAAGTTATTTTTAATTGATTTTCAAAATAAATAAAAATCTTTTGCTTTAACTTTCTGTAAAAGTAGATGAAGACTAAAAATAAACGCAAAGTAACTATCATATAAGCATTTGATCATAAATATAACAAATTTTGCTCAGTCATTCATGATGATCTTTTTTTAAAGTATTTTTTTTTTTCAAATTGTTTTAAAGCTTTTTAAAAGAAATAAATAATTTCAAATTAAACGTACAATAAAAGAAATATAACGTACTAATGTAAGAATGAATGAATGCATAATTAAACCGTTATTTCTTCTTTTTTCTTAAATTTAATGCGTTATTTCAAATGTTCATCATTATAATTATTATTATTATTATTATAAAACACAATACATAATATGAGTGTATGTATGTATGTATGTATGTATGTATGTATGTATGTATGTATGTACATTACATTCGTATTTACTCAGCCATATATATGTGTATGTTATATGTATGAATATTTATTCTTTTAATGGTTTACAAATTACAATTTAATGAAAACAACAATTAAATCACTCAAAAGGTGGTTGGTGAAAAAATAAAAATAAAAAGAATTAGAAAAAATCAAACAACAACAAAAGGGCATTTCAATGGTTTTCTTCATTATTTTTCGAAATTTTGTTGTTTACTCGTATGTACAATAATGAGTTTGTATTATGAACACCGTGCAAGTGTGAAGAAATGAATTCACACACACTTTAAATAATGAAGAAAGTTTATTTTTTTCATTTGCAAAGATTATTATACGAAGGTAAATTTCAGTTACAATCATTTTAAAATATATTTCAAGCCCAAATTCAATATGTCGCTTGGAAATTTTATATTATAAGTTTTTATGAAAATATTTTTAGACAAATGAGATGCTAAATAGATGTTTAAATTTAATATTATCAGGAAAAATTGCAGAATTACTATCTATCTATCTATCTATCTATCTATCTATCTATCTATCTATCTATCTATCTATCTATCTATCTATCTATCTATCTATCTATCTATCTATCTATCTATTCTATCTATCTATCTATCTATCTATCTATCTATCTATCTATCTATCTATCTATCTATCTATCTATCTATCTATCTATCTATCTATCTATCTATCTATCTATCTATCTATCTATCTATCTATCTATCTATCTATCTATCTATCTATCTATCTATCTATCTATCTATCTATCTATCTATCTATCTATCTATCTATCTATCTATCTATCTATCTATCTATCTATCTATCTATCTATCTATCTATCTATCTATCTATCTATCTATCTATCTATCTATCTATCTATCTATCTATCTATCTATCTATCTATCTATCTATCTATCTATCTATCTATCTATCTATCTATCTATCTATCTATCTATCTATCTATCTATCTATCTATCTATCTATCTATCTATCTATCTATCTATCTATCTATCTATCTATCTATCTATCTATCTATCTATCTATCTATCTATCTATCTATCTATCTTATCTATCTATCTATCTATCTATCTATCTATCTATCTATCTATCTATCTATCTATCTATCTATCTATCTATCTATCTATCTATCTATCTATCTATCTATCTATCTATCTATCTATCTATCTATCTATCTATCTATCTATCTATCTATCTATCTATCTATCTATCTATCTATCTATTATTAGGTAAATACTATTGTCAAAAGACAGTCTATTAAATAGTTATAAACTAAATTAAATCCATATAATTAAATAATTAATGTATAAACCCAACTGTTGAAGTTCATAATAACAATCCAATTTGATTCCATAAAATTCAACTATAATTTAACCATTACAAGAGAAAATTTATTGATTTGACCACATCATCATATTTTCTTCTTCAGGTGGTCTACGCATTTCTGTATTTTCCATTAATTTATGATTTACAATATTTTTTTAACCATTATTGGCAATATAAAACAAACGTGATTAGATTAAAAGATCACCATTAAATGTAAATGAGGAAAAAGTTGCATAATAATAAATTAAGTGCGTTTTATTGGCAAAGCAAATAATTTTAAACAATAAAATTATTCAATTTGCTTTTTTTGAGAATTTGCCAAAAAAAAACAAAAAACAATTGATTGGACTACAACAAATAATAAATATTATTGTTTGGACAGAATTGATTGATTTAAATTGTTTCAATATAAAAATATCTTTCACTTTTCTTCAAACTTGTGCGTTTTTAATTTTAATTGGTTGACTTATTTATACATGAATTATGCAAACTTTTTTTGCAAGTGTAAAAGAAGAAAATGTCTTTTAATTTATTTTTTCCTAATTTTAATTTCTTGGCCTCAAAATTTGCGTCTAAATTTATTATTATTTGGTGGGATGTTTATTTTAATAATTTTCTGTGATTATACTTATTATAATGGCGTTTTAAATTTACTTCGTTTGCTTCGTACTTACCTGCTGCAGTATGAACATGCTGGCAAAGAGCCAGTATTATACAAATAAACAGCATTAGAGGATGAAGTTGCTGCTGCTGTTGATGAAGTTGCTGACGATGATGATGATGGTGGCGGTGTTGGTGGTGTTGTTGTTGTAGCTGCTGACGCCAGTGCCAGAATTGTAGAGTTTTTTTGCTGTTGATTTTGATGTTAACACTTTTTGGTAAAGTATTCATTTTTTTAATTGTTGTGTTTGGTATTAATGTTGTTGTTGCTTCTTCGGCTGCTGGCAATAGTCGAAACATTTTCACTGCACTTTCGTTGTAACGCTTTCGCTATTTTAACAATAGTTATTCACAAAATTAAACTTAAATAAAAAAAAAAAACGAACAACAACTAAGATTTTTTCCACTTTACATTTAGTTTTCTTTGAAACTTTTCAAAGCCTTCAAGAGTAGTTGAAAGTCTTTATGATTTCGTTTTATAGTTTTTGAAATAAAATTCGCAAAGAAAGTTAAAAACACATCATAAATTCATAAAAAATAAAAATATATTAACTTTAAACGATTTATATTTGTTAAATTAGTCACAACAAATTTTGGAATATTTTCAGTTAAAATTTAAATTTCAAATACATAGTGTTTTCTGCTAACAGCTACTCGTTGAAAGTATGAAGCGTTAAATGCGATTATAAAAATTAAGACAAAAATAAAACAATTAATAGAACAAAATTCCAATAGCCAGTAGTAGCAGTAGTAAGTACATAGTTAAGTCCAGCAGTCTGTAATTTGTTTGTTCATCCGTGCATGTAGAGATTTTGTGCAGTATCAACATTCCATACATAAATACTTTTCGTTTTTTTTTACAAATACACTAATAGAAATAAGAAGTTTAACGGTTGGGACTTTTAAAAATTCCATTAAAAAACGATTATTTACTTATTATGATTTTGACATATTTCACACCTTACACACAAAACTTATCAGTTTTTTATGTTTTTCTATATGCTTTCTTTAAAAATTGATTTTTAACAAAAAAAAAAACAAGATCCACCCAAATTGTCTAAGAAATTTCAAACAGCCACGAAAATTTAATTTCTCTGAGTGTAACAAGTTTTAATGAAAGTACACACTAATATGATTTTAATTGCTGTAAGTCGTGAAAAGCTTTTTGGGTTTTTTCAATAGTAGTAGATCACGTTTTTTACATATTAAGATTTATACATATATGTATGTATGTTTATCTGCAAACAGCTGTGAGCTCTTTAATAGCATTGTAAATTTGTATTTTCAATTTGATTAAAAAAAATTTGTTAAATCTTTATGTATCACATGTACCCCAATTAAACATTAATCGTTAGTTAAATAAAATTTAAATAACTGCAAAATTTTAACTAAAATTACAAATTGACTTTGCTATTTTATTGCACAGTACTGTAAATGAAATTAAAATAACAATAACAACGTCCGTTTTAATTATTTACATACATACATACACTATACGTATGTATGAATTTATGTGAGTAGATTAGATCGGCCCTTAAAAAATAGATTCGTCTTGAATAGGTGTCTGTTTTTTCTTCTCTACTGTAACTAAAACTAACTTATCTAGAATTTGAGGTTAGGAGATGTTAAAAAAATGGTATCTATTAAATTTAAATATTGTTTTTAAGAGCCGGCCTAATGTCGTTGGTTTGTATATTTGGACAATTTCTTTTATTTATGTCTCATTTTATTACAGTTAAATTTTCTTCATTTGTTGAAAGTTTTAAACATAGTTGTACTGCTTAATAGCTCCAGAAATTAACGGGCTTAAATTTAAATATTACATTCACACACGTACATATGTATATACATATTAATATTTATTTGTTTTAACATATAAATACACTTAGGGTAATTTTATGCCAACGTTTTTGCAAAAAAAGTTAAATGTCAGGTGTGGCGAAAATAAATTGTAACGGAACAAGAACTTTGAGATCAGGAGGATATATCATATCAGTTGAAATTAACATTCTTCAAGTTTCCTAACCTTTACATAAGTTTATAGTATTATACTGAATATTGCAAAGTTATCGACAAAGAATTTTTGTCATTGTTTTTCGATCCAATATTTAATATTGAACAGCACAGAACCAAAAAAGAATATTACATTAAAAATTGTAAACTTATGGCAGATCTATTGAATCTTTTGATATTCGTGAATCCGAAATACAATAAATATTTCAATTGCAAGTTTAGCTACTTCGATTATAAAAAATTTTACTAAATCAGTTGTAACAAAAAAAAAAAAAAAAAGAATTGATTTAAACCATGCCGTGGTACTTAATTAACTCAAATATAATGATTTTGGAGTGGTTTTTGACTTGGAATATGTCTGTAATTCTAATAATATCAATTAATATATCCAAAAATCAATTAATATTTCCAAACACAGAATTGCAGATAGACTTTTTAGATGATGGCGATCTTTAAAGAATGAAATTTTGTAAATAAACTGGGTAAAATAATTAATTATTGTCAATGATAGTAGTACTATTTCTCTGATACTCTGATTCTGAACTAAATTTAAAATATTTTGATTCTTCAGAAAAAGTAAAACGATATCTTTATGGAATGAAACCACTTTCATTTTGTGGATGTGGAATTAGAATACGTTTGATTTTTTTTATTTTAATTAAGAAATTTACTAAATGAAATTCTACTTTCGCTTGGAATGGAATTCTATGGCAGTCCTGATTAATATCACAATACCGAACATCAAAATTAATCATCGTCTCTGGTATCTGGTATCTTCTATACTATTGATAGTTCAGTCAAGTAGACTTAAATCATATTCTGAATCCTTACAATTTTCTAAACGGTATAAAATGACGAACTTTTCTAAGACAATTTAGCAATGTTCATCAGTCTATTCAAAGCCCGATAGAACACTATTCAAAGGAGATAAATGGCTAAATGTTTCCACAAATACTCCCTGTGTATAGTTAGTAGGATTAAAAAGATCCGATGAAATACACATAGGTTACGGGCCAATTATGTGCTCCTTTAACACAGTTTTTGGTGTAAATCAAACTCATGACCTCCAGACTGACGGAGTAGGTTATTTGCTACCGGTTATATGCTATATATAGGTTATATGCTACCCTTCCATCTACTATTCGGCCAACGTTAAAAACAAATTAAGGATAGGGGTGCTAATGACAAGTGTTAAAAAATTGTAAAATCGGTACAGATTTAGAATTCTATCTCTAAACAATAATTTTATTAAAAATTTCTTTAAAACTTTAGAAAAATACACAGAATAACGGAATACGAATTAAAATACAATTTCGCTGTATGTACTATTATTTATGCATATGTTTATGTACATACATATGTATGTATGTGCTTATGTACTACATACAATACGTATGTACATATGAAAATTTCATTGTGTATGTATATAATTCAAGTATTATATTTCATACAAGTTTGTTTATTGTTGGTTTATTTTGTATTATTGTTCTCAGTCTTTTCTTCAATGTATGTAGAATGTGCGAATCTCTCGAATTGTTTTTCACACATGCACTTAGAATGATGACACTTTCCATACTCACTCATATACACACTCACACCTGAACTTAAATATTTACTTACTACAAGTTGTTATTTTTCTGGTTCTACCATATTCTTTGAGAAATTCTTATAAATGGAGTTTGATTTGGGTCTGTCTGTTATTTCAGTTCTATGTCACACTATGACTCGTACTACTTTCAATTGACCTTTTGACAATTAAATTTGAATGAATGAACCTGAATACCATAGAAAGTGAATGAATGAATAATTCCAATTTCAATCAATTTATCATAAATCTGAGCTGATGATACTTGTCTAAAATGAATTTAAGTGTTTTTAATTGAAATGGAATTCATTGATAAAAAACGGAATAAATTAATATGAATTTATTTAATTTTATTCACTCACTTTAATTTTGGGCAGTAATTAATTTTTTTAGCAGAACTTTTATGTGTTTTTTCTTTCTTTAAATATTTAAAATAACGGTTTTTTAGAGTTGTTAAACTAACTTCATACAATTGCAATTGAACTTCTCTAATGTATTTTTTTTTTTTTAATTTTAATTAATTATTCTTTTCGTTAAAAATGTTTATTTTCAACACTTTTTGTTGTTTGTTAGTGCAGTGTTATTGTCGTTGTTGTTGCTATATTTTGAAAGCAATTTATATAAACATTTTCTTCGTGTTTCTTCTCAAGTCTGTGTATTTTATTTCATGTTCTTGATTTCCTCCTCACGATCCATTTAATTTTAAGACCACGTCTGGTGACAAACCGTATGCAATACGAGAAATTTAAGTATAAGTAATCTTTCTTTTCTTGGGTATTTTATATAAATATTTTTTTATTTATTTCTTTTTTTTTCACTTATTTAACACTAAAACTACTTAAACAAACGATCGACTGAATCGTAATGAAAAGAAATGTTTGATGCGCGAATGCTGAATGAGTGCTTGCCGCGTTATGTCTTCTAGTTTTATATACCCAGTGAAAGGCAGACACGACTGGCTGGCAGGCAGGCAGTTTGGCTGCCTGGTTTGCTACTACTACTGACTGCGTTATACTTACCATACAATGGTAATGCTACTGCTTACTACTATATGTATATTCAACCATACTAGAAGACCCAACAACTGGCTCTCTGACTGACTGGCAGACTGACTGAATGTGGCATCAAGCAGCAATATAAAGCTACAAACAAATTTAAAGCAGCAGTGTTCCTAACACATAAAACCAAAATAATCAGAAACAAGTAAGAGTATGTTATTCGACTGATCCGAATCTTATATCCCCTTCGCACATATAAGACGGGTTAAAAATTATTACTTACGAGCACTGATTTTGGTGCATTCATTGTATATAAAAACATGTATCAAATGACTCCGATTTATGCTTTAAGCAATTAATATTAGCGCTATATTTCAGCTTTCTAGTTTTAATTGTTTCTGGACAAAGTACTTACATACATATGTATGTTCGTATTAATGCAAGACATTTAGATTTACATATGTACATACATATGTATGTTACAAACGGAATAAGAAAATTAATATACTTCCCATCATTTCTGATGGTGGGTATAAAAAAAAATAATAAAATAAAAACCGCATGCATACATTATACGAATCAAATAAAAAAAATTGAGGCACGAGTACTTTTAAATTTACTTACTAACATTTCATACAATTGTTTGTTTATTTGTTATTGCTTCTACTATTGTTTTTGTTGTTTGTGTTTTTGTTGTACGTTGTTTGTTGGAGTCTGTTTGTTGTATTCAATGAGGAGTAAAACAATCAAAATCAACTTCGAACATCCAACTAAAAACCCAAAAAAAAAGTCTGTGAGTTTGCGCAGAAAATGAAACTTGATTTGGAGCTACTGCTGCATGTATGCCGCTTATTGTTTTCATAGCCTACTGGCTTTGTTTGGGGCTGTAAGGCAGACTATAATAATGCTGCCTGCATCTGAAGATTATACAGTGTGGCTAAAGTTAAAATAAACTGCAATCTCTAAAATCTCTGTCTATGTCAAACGAATTGACAAATGTTGATAAAAATTCTAATTATCAAATAGGATCGCATGGACAAATACGTAAAAAATACTTTTAATTTATAGAGTACATTGTGACCTTCAATATATCACTCAGCGTACACACTCTTTAGCAATTTCTGCAAACAATTTCTAACTCGATATACAAATTTTATTTAATTTGCAGACTATAATAATTGATGCACTTTTTTCGGCCGGGTTTCAATAAATTTAAGTGTTTTTAATAGAATTTCACACTTAACTATGGCTTTTATTTTTTGATTGTCACAAATCAATTTAAATAAAACTTTTTATTAAAATTTATAAAATATTTAAATAAAACATTTAATTTAAATTAAAATGATAAGTAAATAAAACCAATAAAAATCTATTAAGAAAGTATTTACAACCATATGATGGCATACATTGGGAAGCTTAAGACATATCGGGGTCTTACAGAAAACCATTCCTCACATTTTTAATATGTATTAAAGTTACATAATGGGAATAATCACTTCAATTAAAAAAGCATTTCCGCGAAGAATCATTTAATTTTTTAACAAGATTAAATCAATCAGGTAACTTAGAAATACGTTGAGCTTATTTTGATAACGGTATTTCAGCGGTAGTGGTACAAATAAAGTAAATTAAATACTTTATTATAATCTTTTTAAATATGTATATACATGCTATGTATGTATTAAAGTATCTCGCGGGTAACTTTTTTGTAGGCGAATCTAACAATCTCTTTTTTAAGTAGACTTAAATTCCCAGGAATCCGAAAGTTAAAAATCACAATATTTCCCGGGAATTTTTTCATATTAAAAACAAAAATAAACTTAAGTAAAATTTAATATAATTTGATTGATTGAGATCTTATTTTAGATAAGAAGAAAGAATAGTTGACTTACAATTCAATTGAGCCAACCCACTGTATAAACCAAACAAGCAAAAAACCCCTCACGTATCTGAGGGGCTTTTTAGTAATTTGTATGGTGAGCTAGATTTTACTTTTTATACCGATGTGTTTGCCACGATGCTGCCGCAGCCTGTTGGCGCATCTACAGCTGCAACACTGTATAAGCAGCTATAACCAATATTTGTTTTTGGTTAACAAATGGTATGTGTAAATGTGTAATTGTAAATGGATACTATGTATGACTGTGTAAATATGCATGTAGAAGGTAAAACCATATTATGCCGCATTCAACTTCAAACAAATTGCAATATTTACAAATATTGTAAAAACTCTCTTTTTTCAATACAACAAACAAACAACTGATAATAAAATTTACTCTAATATACCCCTTTACCAACTTTCAAATACGTATATATGTATGTATGAATGTATGTTTTAATACAGTATCAATGAAATATGTGTAAGTATTTGCATATTAAAAAACGGGTAAAGTTTAAATAAAATAAAATTTGCATTAACTTTTGACAGGTTTTTGCTTTTATTTCTTGCCACTTTTATATTTCCCCCTGAACAGTTTTTCTTTCTTCGAGTTGCATTAACCAACCGCAGTTTGTTCAATTTAAAAGAGATGATTGCTTTGACCCTCATTATGCTGTGGCAGCAATAAAAACAAAAATCTATTAACGCGGCTTGCCACATAGCCGTTAGCAAAATGTTGTTGTTTTATTTTTCTTGTTATCTTTTTTTTTGTAATGTTCCTTTCGCCAAATAAAAAAAGTGAACAGCATTTGATTTGTGGTGGTCTCTTGGTCAACTTGGTCTTTGGTCGCTTGTTGATGATGGTAGTAGTGGTGCTGGTGGTGTGGGGTGGTGGCAATGTGGTTGGTGTTGATGTCTTGCAACCATCTTACCATGTTTTTTATTTGCATACCGCAGATTGCCAACTGACCAACTAATGTCTATATAATTTTATTTTAGTTTTTTTTTCTGTTGAATCTGTGAATGCGGCAAAATATTCTTTTATTCGAACTAATGATGCGTAGGCTTTAAGATTAAAAAACAAAACACATAGGAATAACTCGTTGCAAGCTTTTCCTTTTTAAAATTAATTATCTTTGTCCCTCTGTACGGTGTAAGACACTAAAAAATGTATAAATAATTTACCAACTCCATTTACAATCATTTCAACAAGATAATAAATCATACTCTCTACACAGGAATAATAATCATGTAGAACACATAAATTTGACCTATATTTTTATTATTGCCGATTCCAATGGGAAAGCATATTTAATATGTTAACACTCTAAAAACCACAAATATCTTAAAAAATATTCATATTTTGTTATATGTATGTACATATGTATGTACATATATACTGAAAAATACATTTATTTACCCACAGTAAAATCCTCTCTTCTTGTATTCATCAACTCCATCATACCCACCACTTCTCCTTTCAACATCGATCTCCCTTTACACTCATTTAACGACGGACTGTCCTAGCGAGGAGAAGGCATCCGCTTCCGTTTTTTCATTTTTTGGTGGTGTGTTGGCTTGGTTTTCTTCATCTGTCTGTTTGTGATCGAAACTTGCTACATTTTTTGGTTCAAAGAAAACTCGTTCGTCTTAATTATGTATTCGGAATTTAAACGAAAAACTGAATAGGAAAAATGCAATGAACTGTCAAAACGAATTACGAATGTGTCGTAGAAACGGGTTAATTGGCTATTGTCATTCAGAGTCCGAATTAAGTAATTCAACTGTCCGTGTGAACTTGGTTAAAAACTTTTGCCATTACTAAATCGAACAACTTTTATCGCCGATTTATCACCACTAACTACATAACATCAATGATGCGTTTTTCTATTATTCTTGTGTTTTTTTTTTTTTTTTATTTTATTAATTTGTAGATTTTTTGTGATTTTTATGTTTAAGGCCAAAAAAAAATCTACTTTTTAAGGAAGAATGGAATGCATCTTATTAAATTTAAATTTGTTTTTCGTTCTAAGATTAATTATACCCTACACCACCTTAATGGGGAGGGTATATTGGGTATAAAGTATACCAATCGACTTAGAATCGTTTTATGAGTCGATTAAGCTATGTCCGTCCGTCCGTCCGTCTGGCTGGCTGGCTGTCCATGTAAACATTGTGCGCAAGGTACAGGTCGCAATTTTCAAGATAATTGGATGAAATTTGGCACACACGCTTTTTGGGCCAATCGGTCCATTATTTCACCTAGCCCCCATACAACAGAACCCCGCTTCTGAGCTCATAATTATGTTAAATATACCTGTATATTGATAAAAAGCGACACAACTAAGTTTTATACAAGCCTTGATGACCTTGCCAAATTTCATAGAGATCGGGCCTCATTTGACCCTAGCTGCCATACAAAGTCCCCTTCAGAAAATTACTTGAATGTCTAAAATTAACTTATAAACACAAGTATCGCTATGAAATTCAGCACAATAAAATATTATGTAAATATAAATATATTCACAAAATTTTATCAGCCTTGGTCCATATTTGCTCCTATCCCCCATATAAAGGCTATTTCAGAAAATTAGTTTTTCATCCATAAATTGCTTAAATGTATCGGAACAAGGTAATAGAAGATAAATGCTTTATTATGAAAAATAAATCACATTTAATATTCATAACTGGTGTAGGGTATCATATGGTCGGGCACGCCCGACTATACTTTCTTACTAGTTTTTTGTTGTGAACGTAAAAAACAAAACTCATATTTCCACAAAAATTTGATACATTTTAATTTAGATCGGAAATATATTACTCTAAATTCGAAAAGAAACTTTTAAAAAGTGTCAACAAAAGGCGAAAAATGTCGAAAATTCGAAATAAGTCGAAAGTCTTTTTTTTATAAAACGCAAAAGTCGAAAGTTAGCTTTTCAAAAATTTAAATAAGTCGACTTTTTGTTTCAACTATAAATTATATGCAGTAACATTGAAAAATATGCAGATGAATAAAATAAGATATTAAAAACATTTGAAAGCCAACAATTCATAAGTTGTAAGAAAAATACAATTTTCATAAAATGCTAAATCTTTAAAACATGACTTTTCAATTTATGATTTTTTGTTTCGATTACATAAACTCTTAAAATATGTTTTTCCAAAACCACATCTACCATAGGTAGATTTTTCATTTCGCTTCAATTGTGTTTTCACTCATTTAATTTAAGAAAGAGATAGCTATGTCATCGCGGATGTCAAAGTTAATTTTCTTTTGGCTACAGTTGTAAATATTAGTAGTAAAATCAATTATATATTCTAATAAATACAGATTTTTTAGCATAAAAACTGGACATGAGAATAATAAAATATTCTAAAATATGTTAATAATTTTCACATTTAATTATATTTAATAAATTAAGAGAAATTACTTGTGTAATTAAGGTATAATACATTACTACTCAAATTATACGTCTAATAAAAAGTACCATGTTTTGCAACTGTGAATTTTCATTGAAAATTATTAAAGACTACATATATGTAGTGAGTGTTGAAAAATAAGAAATCCAGACAAAAAATTAATTTTTTCGATTTATAACAATTATAAAACTAATGAAAACTCTGCGGAAAATCTTTAAGAAAGTGTGTGCTCTAAGAAACAAGTGAAATTTAAAGTTTTTATTGAGTAAAATTGCAACTAGAATTGGTTTTCAGTTGCACTTGCAGCAAAAGTTTTTGGGAACGAAGTAGCAGACGACGTCGACGATATCGACGACGGTGACTACCAAGACGGACGGACGTAAAAGATGGCGACGAGCCGTACAAGTCGCATACAGCAATCGAAAAACATAAGTTCGATATTTTCCAAGCTGCATGGTGCCTTTTCGGAGGCATGTGGACCCCAACGGCTGTCCACCGACAAGAAGACCCTCGAAAAAACATGGAAATTAATGGATAAAGTCGTGAAATTATGCCAGCAACCGAAGATGAATTTGAAAAATAGCCCACCCTTCATATTGGACATTTTGCCGGACACCTATCAGAGACTGCGTTTGATATACTCCAAAAATGAGGATCAGATGCATATTCTTCACAACAATGAACATTTCAATGTCTTTATCAATAATTTAATGCGAAAATGCAAACAAGCCATAAAGCTATTCAAGGAAGGTAAAGAGAAAATGTTTGATGAAAACTCCCACTATCGTCGTAATCTGACCAAACTAAGTCTGGTCTTCTCCCATATGTTGAGCGAATTAAAGGCTATATTTCCAAATGGTGTCTTTGCCGGAGATCAGTTTCGAATTACAAAAGCGGATGCAGCAGATTTCTGGAAATCTAATTTTGGCAATAGGTGGGTGTTGTTTGCTTTAAATATATCTTTCTTTAACATAACTAATTTGATGTTGTATGTTTGTATGTGCGTGCGCATTTAGTACTCTGGTGCCTTGGAAAATCTTTCGTCAGGAATTGAATAAAGTACATCCCATATCATCTGGCTTAGAGGCTATGGCTTTAAAGACGACCATCGATTTGACTTGTAATGATTATATATCGAATTTTGAATTTGATGTCTTCACAAGACTCTTTCAACCTTGGGCAACACTCTTAAGAAATTGGCAAATTTTGGCTGTCACCCATCCCGGCTATGTGGCATTTTTAACATATGATGAAGTCAAAGCTAGACTACAGCGTTATATACACAAAGCCGGAAGTTATGTTTTTAGGTACGTAGTATGTTAATTTTGTCATTCATTCAAACATTCAAACATACACATGAATCATATGCAAACCAATCGACCGGCCAACCACCAACAATCATTTTTGACGGACAGTTTATCGTAGACTATATATGGCTGGGATTGATTAAGTTTGTTTTAAATGGGGTTTTTGTTTGTTTGTTTGTTTGTTTACATACACTGAGTATTTATTTGCATACACATTTTAATAAATTATCTGTTGTTTTTGAAAATTAATAGATTATCGTGTACACGGTTAGGCCAATGGGCAATCGGCTATGTTACGGCGGATGGAGAAATATTACAAACTATACCGCAAAATAAGTCATTATGTCAGGCATTATTAGACGGGCATAGGTGAGTAAAAACTTTTTTATTTTCAAAGTGTTTCTGTGTGTCAATGAACCTGATATTTGTAGTGATCTGAATTAAAACATATTTTATACGATTAAAGAATTAAATATGAAAAGTCATATTTCTGTTAATATGTATACGTAATTGAATAAATTTCGTGGTGTTTTGATTATTTCGAAATCTGACTTAAGCGTAATGACACATACAGTTTGTTTAATCCATTTTTTAATAATAATAATTATATTAGATTGTGTTACTACCAAAATCCTGTTCTGAATAAAATTATTTTTAACTTAAGCGAATCGACAAATACAGTTTGTTTTATACATTTTTGAATTATATTAGATTGTTTTAATTCCAAAATCCTGAATGTAATTATTTTTTAAGTGATTTTTGTTTAACAATTTTAAGATATAGAGGAACAGTTAGGAATTATAATCATTGGCTCAATTATATTTGGAAAACTATGGTACATCTAAAGATGTACGAAACTAACGCCATATTTTAAAAATTCAATATTCTCGGCACAATCGTTGATCAATTCCTTAGAGACAACAAATTTCTGTATAAAATTATTCTTTTTACATATTTTTCAACAGAAGTTGTTTTGAACTAATATGTGTCCCATAGTGTTCTACACTAGATTCTAGTGTCACTAGGTTTATATTGGTTCTAGTGACAGGACCTAGTGACAAAGAATTTGATGATTGTGATTTGAAAATTTTCACTTTAACACAGAATCTTAAAAGAGTTTCATAAACTTTTTCTAGTAAACATGCATGACTACTCTGAAAATTGAACTCATAAATTAGAATATAATAATAAATTTTTTATTTTCTATTAGACTCGTAAAGTTAAATCATAAACATTTAATACATTCTTATAGGGAGGGTTTCTATTTATATCCTGATGGTCAAGCGTATAATCCTGATTTATCTTCGGCTGTACAAAGCCCCACTGAAGATCACATAACTGTGACTCAAGAACAATATGAACTTTACTGTGAAATGGGTTAGTATTTTATGGAAAAATTAAATTAAACTTAAAGTCCTACATATTTTCTATATTTATTTTTTCTCTTATTAAAACGTCATATACTAACTATAGGAAGTACCTTCCAATTGTGTAAAATTTGCGCCGAAAATGACAAAGACATACGTATAGAGCCATGTGGTCACTTGTTGTGTACACCATGTTTAACGTCATGGCAAGTAGACTCAGAAGGGCAGGTAAATAATAATAATAATAAGCTGAAGAATTTGAAAACAAACAAAAAACAAATTTAATTATTAATTTTAGGGATGTCCATTTTGTCGTGCTGAAATTAAAGGCACTGAACAAATTGTCGTAGATGCCTTCGATCCTCGTAAACAACACAATCGTAGTGCTACTAACGGACGCCATCAGCTAACTAATGATGATGATGACACTGAGGTATAGTTTAAAATCTATTAGCTTAAGTTCTTACTTATTACTATTTCCGTTTTTATATTTAAATATTTATCGATAAATATCACTTCGAAGATTACAAGCCGCCTTTTCTCTTTAAATCAACTAAAACTAAAGATAATCTGATTTTTCTATTAGAAACAAAAATTATGCTCAATTATATAGAAAGAAAATTCATAAAACTCCCGAAAAGAGTTGTCACTTGTTTTGTTTGTTTTTAAGTTAATAGCCTGTATTTATCGCAAGCATGTAGTATATTTTTACTGTTTAAATTTTATAGTGATTTTCAAAAGCAAGAATCAAGAAATTAATTATGTATTTATTTATAAACTCTTGTATAAAAAAAGGCTTTTTTCCTTAATTATTATTTTTTATTTGCTTAAACACATCGTTTCTTAATTTATATATTTTCTACTCATTTTCCTTTGTAAAGGCTTCATTTGTAAATAGCATTTTGATAAAAAAAAACAAATTTCGATAAGAAAAAAAGTATTTATTTTGAAAATTTTTTGTTTTATTTAAAACTCGACTCTTTTTTTGCATTATGAATATGCTGTTTATTATTATTATTATAGTATTGTATTTAATTTACCATTTAATTAGTTTTATTCTAACATTAATTTAATTTATACGTATATTATTTAGAAGTTATGTTTAACTTTAGTAGATTTCATTGAAAGAAGTACCCAAAATCTTTATAAATTAACAACAAACTAGTTATAATAATATTTTTGTTGTCGTTGTATTGATATTTTTGTAATTCTAAGAAGTTTACAAAAAAAAAAAAAAAAAAATACTGGTACATGCATACTAAATTATTAATTAAATTGCAATAAATGTTTTATTCTTAATCAAATTTCTATTCTATCATCATAGGTTTATAAAACAAGTTTTGTATGTAAAATATGTTTTTTTTTTTTCTTTAAACCTTTGCTAAAATTTGATTATGAATATGGGGGTTATACAAATATTGCGCAATACTATTATGAGTTATGCATGGTTATTTTATTTACTTCTTTTATCAAAAAATATATACTCAGAAATTAGCTTAAAATACAAAGACAGATCTATGAAATGAATAAATAAGTAAACTTCTTGAATTACAATAAAAAAGTACATATCGTTGGCTAAGTGAACAAACGTGAATGTTATTTTACTCTGTGAAAATTGAGCTTTAAACCAGTGATTGGCACACAAAGCTACCAAAAACATAGGCAATGCCAAAATTACATTCAGCATCTTTGTGTGTTCTTAAAAAGTATTTTTCAAATTATTTTTTACCTTGTTTTAGATTACAGATTACACAATAATGCCTTTAATATATTTTCAATCTTCTATAAAATTCATAAAAAGACACAAACATGTTTATACACTAAAGTAACGAAATGTATGAGATGCGTTTAGTAATTCCTTAAAAAAAAGTATATAGTATATTGCAAATAATTACATATAAAGAATTTTACTTAATTGGAAACACATATACATACATACATATAGTAGACACAATGCAATAGTGGCATAATTAATAAAATATTATTTTGTTTATTTGCATTTTCTCCCAAAGATTGTAGAAATTAGCATTTTTTTAAATTAAGTTCATCAACATTTTATTATATTTTAAAACATAAACCGATACATAGATTAGTATAATAAAAGAAAAAACAAACAAAAAATACTATAATGATATGCATGATAAATGAAACTAATAAAAAATTAAAAAATTCAATTAGTTTTTCTTAAAAAAAAAAAAACAATGAATAAAAGAATGATAACAACATATGCCGTAATAAAATTCAAAAATTAATTTATATTAATCTCCTAAAAGATTTTTTTTATTATTTCTTTAAAACATTTTTTTTTTTGTTTAGTTCAATTGTTTACACCAGAGTCTCGAGTACACATTTTATAAGACTGTTTTTTAAAAATTAATTTAATTAATAAAGATATTAAAGCAGCCTGCAGGATTATTAAAATCGAAAGTTTCTAAATCTGTATTTAAGTTTTTGATTTTTGAATTTATTTTTATTTTTTATTTAATTTAAAGCTGAGGCTGCTTGAAATAATTTTAGTTTTAGTTTTTTTGTTAGACCTTTAATTAACAGAGATTTTTTTATAAAAAAGCAATGATTTTACCTTTTTATTTTCTACCATTTTCTCTCTATTAGTCTCTTTTTAATTATAACTTTAATAGGTATATGTACGTGTGTTAAAACTAATATTAATAAACAAACAAAAACCATATTTATATACATATATACAATTATATAAAATAAAACAATTATTATATAAATACTATTGTGTCTTGTAAATTATTAGTTATTTAATTTTTATTGGCTTTGAAAAAAAAACGAAAAATTATTTTAAATAAAATTATATGAAATATAATAATATTTATACAAACTAAAAGTTTTTTGTTTTGTTTATTTTTTGGTCTTTTAAATTTTTTCTTTAATTATATTTTATTTTAATTATATAAAATAATTTGACTATAAAAAACTATAAAAATATACATATATTTTCCTTAAATAAAAATCAAAAAATATTTAATAAAATTAATACTTGTTTATATTATTTTCTATGAGTTTTCTAATTTGAAATTTTATCAGCGTTTTTGTGCATGATGAATAAATACTACATTACTTTTTCGTTCGTTCGTTTGATTTTCTTTTTTTTTATGTTTATGTTCTCGTTACGTTTCTTTATTATGGTTTATAACTTATAATTTTGTTTCTGTTGTAAGCTCATTCTTCCTAAGCACGTCCAAATCATAGAATCATTTCTTATTTTTTTTTTGTCTATACGTTGAACAAATAATGAATGTTTTTTATATATTGAAATTAATAATATTGTATACAGTTTGCACTTTAATCTGTGTTTTTTTTTATTCAATTTTATTTTCAATATTAAAACTTTTGCTTTCGATTTTGAAAATTTTAAAATAAATTTTTTAAAATCCACCACGACCAAAAGTTAATTTAAAAATTCCATATGTTTGTATATGCTTTTATGCAAATATGTATATGTAATGCGCTAACACTGCTCTTTATTGCAAGGCGAGATCGTTCCAACTTTAAAATTTTAAAAAATGTTTTCAATTCAACTGCCTAAACGCTTGCAGATAATAAAATGTTATTGTTGATATCTTTCGGTTTCGGAATAATTTTTTTCGAAAATCAAAAAATTCTATACAAATTAAAAATGTTTAATTTTTATCGAAAGAAATCGTTATTTTTTTCTTGATACTTTCTTACTTTTTTAGTTTCATTTACAATCATTTCATTTCCTTGCATCTTTACTTATGTTGTAAGAAAAAGTTGCAAACAAAAACAAAAACTGCTTCAAAATCAACTTTAAAATAAATTTTATTTGCGATTCCACTTTGAATTCTTATATCAATACAGGATACTGGTGATTTTAATATTGCGACCTCTTCATTACACGCTTTAAGCAATAATATGACCTCATCAACACATTCCTCGGACAAACATAGTCCACACACTTCACCAAGGTTTTCCAGGCGCAGTACTACACCCAGTTTGATGGCGGTACAAAACGATCTATATGCTGGTCATATACCATCCCTCTCGCTAGCTAATCCATCAGTGAATTATATAACAGCGGCCAGTGCCATAACCGGAACACATTCGCCTTCAGCGCCTCCTATGAATGTGGTAAACGGCAGCAATAGCAGTGCAAGTACCACTGCATCATCGGCTTCCGCCGTAATAACACCATCAGCCACTTCAAATACAGTCACAACACCGCAATCCTCACAGAAATCTACCAATCGCATGAGTGCTCCGTTAATGGGAACCAATGCCACTGTTATACCCGGTTACGCTAGTAAATTGTCGGGCAAATCGGACAACAATGACAATTCAAATTCATCATACGCCATTTTGCAAAATCTCCAAGAATCACAAGCTATTATTGCCAAAGAAGCTCAAAAGAGAGAAGCTAACAGTGCCGCCGTAGCCTCGGTGGCTCCCCCATTACCACCCAGGAAATCATCTCCAGGTGCAGAGAATTCTTCATCGTCTATGGCATCAAATGTTATTGCTTCCAACGGTCATATTAATGGAAGTGGAGCCATACAGAAGACACCTTGTTTACCACCACAAACTAGCAAGAGTGTTGATAATATAGCCGCTTCCTTGGGTGATATATGTGTACCAAAGACAACAGCTCCTCCCATACCACCGCACAACACCACCAGCAATGTTGATACTCTGGTAGAAGAGCTGAGAAGTCAACGTTTAACATCGTCGTCAAATCTTATTTCGAATACTTCGGCCACTCTAATGGACGATGATATTGTGGGGCCTGCTGAAACTATAATGGGCGTCATTGATACTCGACCTTTGGAAGCTAGATCATCAACATCAAATTATACACAATTGTGTACCACCACCACTACCAACTCTTCTAATACGTCGTTGCGAAATGAGCTTAAAACCCAAAGTGATAAACTTATTGAAATCCCTAAATCCCAAATACAAATCCAATCACAACAACAACAACAACAGCACCAGCAGCATATTCATCAAAAACAACAACAACAGCCTTTACTTTACGAAAACGTATCAATCAATCAAAAGGGCGATTGTAGCGTACCCTACGAGAATATCAATTTAGAATATATAGCACGTCTAATGAACGAAGGCTATTCCAAAGAGAATGCCATTACAGCCTTGGGTATATCACGTAATAATATTGAAATGGCTTGTGATATTCTAAGAGAATTTGTTGCTAAAAATAGTGTTTAAGAATTTACATTTATATTTAGTTATAAGTTTAAGTCTTTGGATAAATTCTAAAGTATTTTAATTTCGTTTAATTATAATTTTTCACTTGTGCAAGCTTTATTTTACAGTCTATATCATTTGCTGCAAAATCTTCCGCACTTCCGTACTCTTCTACTATTTGAATTTATTGCAATATAATGTTGCTACTATAAAATTGCTACTATTTTGATAAAAAAAGTTCTAGTTAATTTTAGAATATGTATACATATTATACATATCGTCATCTGAAATGCAAATGCATTCTAATGCTCTTGCAATTTTTCCTCTCCTTTTCGTTATCTATTAAGAATACGCAATAACATTATAACAATGTTATGTGTAGCTGTTTGTTATGTTCTACGAAAAATCTGATACCGATTCCATTTATGAAAAACTTTAAATTTATTCGAAAAGAAATCGTATTGTTATTTAGAAAATTTTAAACTAATTTTTTGGATTGCATTCCAAATTGGAATAACAATCTTACTATCGATATACAAAATAATTCTTCAGCACTAGTAGCATGCAATAAACATTAACAAATAAAATAACTCTTATTTAATTTCAATAATAGTATATTTATTACAAGTACAAAAATTAAAATATACAGCTGAAAATTAATTTAATTATTACGATTACATATACATACACATATGTACGTATGTATGTATGTATAATTATTTATTTTTCTAGTAAGCACCGGAATTTAAACAAATTATAAAGTAAAACATAAAATAATTATTATTAAAAATAATAATACAAAAATAACTTACCGAAATATACATATAATAATTAAACACGAATTCTATACAAATTTAAAGTAACCAAAAGCAATCCTTTTAAACTTAATTTCATTGCGTATTTAAAACGATATATCCGCCAACAGCGATATTACATCTAAAATATGAAATTGTATTAAAAATTACTGTCCCCCAACATTTTGTAATTGTTTTCATTTATCTATCTACTTTTTAACAATGTTCTAAATAAAACGTAAAAAATAAGGCAGAATTTTTGGTAATAAAAAAATAGTATATTTTACAAGGATATTTTGTCTTTTTACACTGTTTCCTAAGAAAATTTACAACGATAATAACAATTAAAAAATTTAGTTAATATGTTTTTATAAAAAAAAAAGAAATATTTTTTAATTAAATCAGAGGGTTTTCAATTCTCTAGTTACTAATTCGATCGATGTTGTTTAAATTTTTTTTTTCAGTTTTGATTATTCACATAATTTAAATGAAATAATCATAAATAAATTAATCAAAATTGTATATCCAATATATTACATACTTTTTAGTTATGCTCATATTTCAAATGTTTATTAAAAAGAAACAGTGTAAAAGGATAAATACATAATTCATTTTAAAAAATAGTTGTCGGAGTAAATCCATTTTTTTACAAATGCCCAAAGTAAAATAAAAAGTTAATTTTATACTAATTGATAAGGGTTTTATTAAGGTATTATCGAAAACAAGCTCTAAACTTACCCATATTGAATTAATCTTAGACTTGGAATACAAAACAGAAACTTCATTATTAAATAAAACACTTGTAATAAGATAATTTATCATACAAATATTTATACATTAATGATCCCATTTTGACCTCAATCCCGTCATATTTACTACACCTACATACAATGTACTACTATATATTATAATAAAACAAGGAAACAAAATAATGCAAAATAAAAACAAATTACAAAAACGTGTTTCTTCTATTACCCACTAACTCTAAAAATACGAGACTATATCCCGCATTTATGTTCTATTAACTTCTAACATTCTATCTATAATATATTATAATTTCATGTTGAAAAGTAAACAAAACAAAATAATAACTATCATATATGTATGTATATTAAACATACATATACATATATACAAATCTAGTATATATATTGACATATTTACTATATTGAGTAATCAAAAAACACCTCGTTTATCCTTCATTAACCCCATATACATACATTTTTATTGTATGTAAATTAGATCACACTACAAAAAGTTTATTTCTTATTTTATAAAACTTTTATTCTAGACTTTACCTTTGGCAAGCTAGATCAAAAAGAATCAAAAAATACTACCTCTGTTTGTAAACCATACTATATGTATATGTTTTGTCCCAGATTTTTTTTCAAACTCATCAGCTCAATATTATATTCGAAATCGTGTTACATTAAACAATATTTATTTTCAGGAAGTAACCCCAAAAGTCCCATATATGCAAAATAATAATAAAATATCGTAAAAACAGTTATAAAAACATATTCATAAATACTCGAATATACATACTTACATAATTCTTGCGTACATGCATACATACATAGTTACATCCAATATACAACATTTATTATAAACAAAAATTATATAGAATATATTTATTTTCATACTCGTATTATAATCTCAAACTCAGTTTGTCTGTCTTTCTGTCAGTCAGTTCATCTGTATTATCATCAATATCACCATCATCATCATCATTATTTCATTAGACAGTGCATCAGTCAGTCGAAAAGTAAAACAAAAATATTTTAGTATGTCACAATCACTATTTAAACTCACTAAATAATTAAAATTAAATTATAACCTAGTATTAAATAAAACACAAATGAAAGAAAGAAAGCTTGAGATTAAAAGCAAATATTTAAACTACTTTAAAATTACTTAATTATATAAGCAGATGCAATTATTCTTATAAGTAAAAGATGAACAAAAACCAAAAAAAAAAAAAAAAAATCAATAAAAATGAATAAAATATTTTGTTTTATTTGAATTATGTCTGATATCAAAATATATTTATTTCTATTGTAAGTATATTAAAAATCGTATCAAGGTATTTGAATACGAATACTAACTCCAACCATAGGTGTGTATATACATACATATATTTTTCTTTTTTTTTTTTTAATTATGCAAAATAATCCAACCCTAACTCCTTAATATGATCAACAACATACCGCTTTATATTATAGTGTTTTTATACCCTATATAGTAATCGGCACAGAATCACTTTCTGGGTCAATTTAACTATGTTCTGTCCGTCGTGTGTCCATGTAAACCTTGTGCGCACGATAATTTTCTGAAGCCTATTAAAAATGGTTGAAATCGGTGCATTGTTTCACCTAGCCCCCATAACACCGTACTTTCCAAAAAGGGATTTTGTGCTAATAGTTTGTTGTAGAATCTCTACAAAAAGCTCCTCTAGTTTAGCCAGAAAATGGACTTTTATGTTTTCACTCAAAAAATCGATTTTGGTTTAGTTAAGGCAGAAAAGGAGTTTTATTTTTTCACTCAAAAAATTCGATTTTTGTTGGGAAATTAAAGTGATCATAGATTTTCTTTCTTTTTGCCTTAGTGTCTCCAGTTTAGCCAGAAAATGGACTTTTATGTTTTTACTCAAAAAATCTATTTTTAGTGGTAATTCAAAATGATCACAGATTTTTTTTTTTTTTTTTTGCCTAGCGCCTTTAGTTTAGGCAGAAAATGGACTTTTATGTATTCACTAAAAAAAAATCGATATTTGGTTGGAAAATAAAATGATCACAGATTTTCTTTCTTTTTGCCAGGGTTTAGGTTTTCATTCAAATGGACTATTATGTTTTCACTCAAAATATAGATTTTTGGTGGAAAATTAAAATGATCACAGATTTTTTTCTTTTCTTTCTTTTTGCTCTAGCGCCTCTAGTTTAGCCAGAAAATTATTGTTAAATTAATTTGAATTATACTATTTGCATTCGCCTTCGCTTTAGCATTCGCAAAAAATAAAATTTATTTTTCGCTAAACTGGTATTCACAACAACCCTAGACTTCGCTATATACATATATATATGTATAAGGATTCTGGATACTTTATAGAGTCGCATTTATACTTTGGTTACTGGCTTAATAAAAATGTTTGGCCTGCGTTTCCTATGATAGGGTATTTATTGCTAAGTTGTCACATTTTTGGACACAGAAAATTGCGAGGTAATAAAAGAAATTCTCTTCTCGGGTCAAATTTCAAATACGATAAGGATGAAGGATCGTTGCGGAAATACATTACTGCGCTGCATCTGAATACGCAACCGTTTATCAGATGCAGTACAGTGATATATTTCTGAACAGAACCACACTATTTAACAATGTTAATTGTTTAAAATAAAAACACAATTAAAATTGGTTTATGTTAATGAAATTATATTTATTAATATTTTTATACTTATATTTTATAAGATCGCAATGTTTATATTATTTTTTATGTTTGTATTCACTTTTCTTTTATGTTTTATATATTTTTTTATTTTTTGTTTTGTAAGCATGTATATATTGTTGTTTTTATATTTCTATAATTCATTCTTTTGCATTTTTGATGTATTTTTTAATTTAAAATTGGATTTTTTTTCTTTATATCGTTTCGTTTTTCTTTTTATAAATATTATTGTTGTTTTCTTTAATTAAATATGTAAGTTAAAAACATGGCTATAGTAGAAGAAGTATGTAACTTGAAATCTGATCCCAAAAACAAATAATCAAACTAAAGTTATGAAAAATTAAAATGTGTAAAATCACTTTATCATGTTTTTTAACAAAAATGTATAAGTTCTTTTAAAAAATATGTAACTAATAATTAAAAGCGAAAAAAGTGATACTATATATTTTATATTTTCAATTCAGAAATAATAATTTCCCAATAGTTTCAAAACATATGTATGTCCTCAATTGAAAATTTTTAAAGAAACCCATTTAAAACTTATGAAAATATTTTCCAATATTTAATCGTGGAACCATAAGAATCATAGTATAAAAAAGTAAATAATACATTAAAAATAAATAAGTGAATCATTTGATGGTTGCTGGTTAAATTTTGTTCTTTATTAGAAAAAAAGTTGTGATTTTTTGTAATTTTTATTATTATTTAATATTGGTTGTTCCTTTCATTACGGTTGCTTTGTTTTTGTCATTATATTTTTCACATTTTGTTTTCTTTATGTAGTAGATTATGAAAAAATTGTCTTTTATTTGTTGTTGTTGGGTTTTTTGTTTATTGTAGTAAGTAGTTAAATTATAAATAAGTTAATAATAACTCTTCTATCTTATGTTTCTTCTTTTTTATAAGTTGTAAGTATGTATTATTTATGTCTGTATATTGCTAATGTTTATTTTTTGTATTTTTGTAAATTTCAATTGTTCTTTAATTTATTTTTAATGCTGCCATTTTGTTTTATTTTTATTTTGTTAGTATTTTTGTTTTCTGGTAGAGAGTAGTTGTTTTGGTTTGTCTTAGTATTTTAAAAAGATTTTTATAGAATAAAAACATCATATTTTATAATGAAGGTAATGAGTGCCATTAATATCTCGACCTCATCATAATCATCAATCTTCCGTAATTTCATTGCATTTTTTTTACATTATATGCGTATTGTTGTTGCTGTATTTATATCATTGAGTTAATAGTATAGTTGTTGTGTGTAGTTTTTTGTTTTGTTTTAAGTTTTAAAGGAAAAGTAACGAAAAAAGAAAGTAAATTAAAAAAGAAAAAAAGAGTTAATTTAATAATATATTTTTTAATCATCTATATATTATAAA